TGTCTGGCTGCATTGCAGCTAAAAGGATGTTGGTGTTGGACAATTCTGCTTTCCCTTCCCCTGGCATCATTGGATCCTGGCTTTTTATATATTATTTATGTAGAGCTTTCTGTTTTCTGGGTTCATGATGCCAGGTGGAGGAATGAAAAAACACTCTTCGTAGGGGAGGGTAATATTGTTTTGTGTGGTTTTCTGTATTTGATTTGTTGCATTCCAGCTTAAAATGAAAAATATATTTTTTAATAAATTGTATTTTAAAATATATTTATTTATTTTAAAATATATAAAATAGCATATACATGACTGTATTGTATTAATGCTGTAGATAAGCCTGTAGCAATTCAGTCCTTCACTTCAGTTTTCTGAATATTGAAGGGGGGGGTTTTAGCTTAAACTTTTCTGTCTTTTATGATCCTCATTAACCTTGTATTTCAGGGTCTGGAACTATGTTAATCAAATATCTTCTTCTTGTGATTTTCTTTGTGATTGGCTTGATTTTTTTATTTTTTTAACTGCATGCAGTATTTTTGCTTCCCTTATATAATCACAAAAAGACTATTAAGAGATTGATATGTGTTTTCAAGCTTATTCTGTTTAAGAGTGTTGTATTGGACAGTGCGGTGTTTCCTGGTCTCTTAGGAGTTCAAAACTGTGACCGTACTATATTAATGCTGTAGATAGGCCTGTAGCAATTCAGTCCTTCTCCTTCAGTTTTCTGATAATTGAAGGTCAGGGTTTTAGCTCCCCTTCTAATAAGAAGAACCACTAATAAATGGATGGATGACATCTAGTGCTTTTATTCTATCACAATGATCAGAAAGATATTGACTGTAGCAAGAACAATCTGATGAGCTTAGTCAAAGTACAGTTGCCCAGATATAGCAGCTGTGCAAAAGAGGTGAATAACTGATGTCAGATGGCATTTGCCTGGATCTAGACAGTAAAACTTTGGTGTACAGACTAAAATCACATTTGCACTGCATTAAAATTGGGGCTTTATAAACTTCACAAAAATTCACAAACACTAGATTCTGATTTTGTATACTATTATTAGTTTATTTTGACTAAAATTACAGAAGTGGAGTTTAATGATTAGATAACATTGTTTGCTTTTCTGTAAACTGATCTTTTGTACAAGACTTTTTAGTTCATGAATCCTGTGTAATAAGAGCCTTAATTAAATTGTAAGGTACAAAGTGAACTGTGATTTCCGTATTGGGGGAAAAAAGAGCATCTTCAGGGCAGTGAAATCATATTGTGTTGGACCTTCTCACATCAGTTTGTTGCTGACTTGTATTAATTTCACAGTATCGAGTGATGCCAAGTGACAAGGCTCTGCTCAAGATTTGAATTCTGCCCCTGGCAGTATTTCTCCACATATCACGTGAAGAGTGGGCTGTTTTCCTTGGCATACTTTTGATTGGACTTGGTTCAAGCCTGTGTTTGGCGTTTCTCCTGAAATGTGAAATATCTTGAAAGCAAGTCAATGCAATTTTTCTAAAATTCTATGGAAGTAGGTAATCTATATCATTATAGGTGGTTAATGCACTTTGATCCACAACTCTTGAACATTTTAAGTTTTAAATAATAGTCTGTATTAGATTCTCACAATGTACTGTGAAACTTAATACAATGATTTAATTTATGGTCAACAGAAGTCAAATTGAGTGAGATTATGATATGTGGGATCAAATTACAGTACAGTAGCTGAAATCTTAAAACAACCCAACATCTAGTTTTGTCGAGCTATCTTATTCTTTAGCTAATGTTTTCCATGAGTTCTGCATTTAACATACTTTAACAGAGGAAAGCCAATTTGCTTGCTTACAGTGTAGTTGTATCTCATCTGTAACTTCTTGTATCACATCTGTAAACCAAAAAATTGTAACACCTGGGTAAATGAGGGACAGCATATTGTATATTGAATGCAAGTGCTCCAAATCCAGTGTGGTTAATATGTTAATTAAGCAAATTGAATCCTGTCATGCTTAGTAAGTTTATCATGTATACAGTATATTCTGGACAGGCCTGAATTGCCTATAATTATGGCTAAAATGGCTGCAAAAGGAGACTTCAGTGAGAGAGGTGATTGTTGGAGTGTATTTGGCAGGAGCTTCAGTGACCAGGACAGATTAACTTGCTAATGAATGGAGAACAGTGGGCAGAATTGCGTACTCAAGGAATATGATACCTATCCATTAATTTGAAGTGCAAGGCAAAACAGGTGACCAGCTACAGTTCAAATGACCGTAAATTTCAAAGTGGGGAGCAAGCAGCCATCTTCATCAAAAACAGACGGAACAGGATACTATAGTTGGGTTGCAGTACACAGACTGTTCATCGCAACTGGAAATACAAGACCACAGGAAAAGGAGCAGTGGAAAGCTGTCATATGATCAGATGTATCATCCTTCATGTTCTCACCAAACAGACGGGCACATGCATGTTAAAAAGATAAAGAACTCTGCAGCACTGAGTTATGTTCCAGCAATGAAGGATTCTGATCACACTGGACAACCCTCAAGTGGGACCCCAGAAGAGGAGCTACACTACACCGGCAGTCCCAGAGGGGATTGTACCCGAGTGGTATTTTGCCAGGGGGATGGTCCCTCTACCACACAACCAACTCTGGTCCACACACACTAACTCACTCATACAGTGGACACAAAAGCCCTACTGTAACACCCTAGCAGGATGCTGTCCCTTTAAATCTTTCGATTATCTCATAAAGCTCCGTTTCTCTCTCAGTCTCCTCACAGACTGACATTCTCACTCTTTTTCTTGCAGGCTATTCCTCCGATAATCCCCTCCGGAACTGTCTTTGTTCTCCACCCCATCACGGGGTTACTGCAGTGGCTAATCATTCTTTGTTCATTCATATGCGGCAGCATGCTCTAACATCACCCCGACTAGTAGCGTCTCACACCTGCTACTGTCACGCTTCAGCCCCGCTCTCTCACAGCAGAGCCTCCGCATTTCTCCTCTCACCACTGCAGTGACAGCAAGACCGAGGTCCCACTTTAAACCACTTCTACACCTGCCGCTCAATCACTTATTTACATCAGGTGTGGTTTCCATGGCAACACGTCTCCCTTAATCCAGGGATCCGCCCCCACAGACCAGACACTCCCTGCATTTTACCACAATATATTTAATTGGGATTTTTTTACTTTAATTGACACAAAACATCCTATAATGTCAAAGTGAGAAAATATAAATTAATTCTAAGTATTAATTATATGTTTAAAATTGTAAAATTCCTTTGCTTTGGCCTGCATCTTATTTTGAAGGTTGTGTAATTGTATATTTAGGTGGGTAGTTGTGTCGGCATGCATAGGCTGCAAAGGAATAAGTAATAGGTTTATTCCATGCTGAAAAAAAGAAGAAAGAAAACAAAATGTTTCGGCCGTGGAGCCTTCTGAAGTCAGAATAGGCGTAGAGAGGTGTGAAATGAAACCTGCAATGAATGGAGAAAATATAGAAGAAAAGTAGTCTGTGGTTAAGAGAAGGGGGAAGATGTGATCCTAGGTTCAGGAAAATTTTGGTTTCTGTAGTCTTTCTGATGTATGAGTTCGGAAAACCGTCTTTGAGAACACAGATGGAGAAATGGAGAGTGGTCATGGCCGTCAGAGGTGAAATGCGAAACAGTGGGCTTTGAGAGATCTTTGATCTTCACAGCCCTTACGTTCTCTGAAGTGGTCTCCGAGTCTCCTTCCTGTTTCTCCAATGTAGATGGCTGGACATTTACTGCAAGAGATACAGTAAATAAGGTTGCTGGAGGTCCAAGATGCATCTGGTTGATCCGGAATTGTCCTGAGGGGCCTTGAGAATGAGTGTGGTGTTAGATGTGTACTTGCAGGTGATACAGCGAGCTCTGTTGCAAGGGAAAGTGCCTGGTGTGGATGGTTGCTGAGGGCGGTCAAGGGAGCTGTGAACAAGAAGGTTACGCAGATTAGGTGGTCGGTGATATGAGATGATGGAGCGGTCAGAAAAGAGGGCCCCAATGGAGGGATCATCCTGTAGGATGGAAAAGTTGTCGTTAATAGTCCTGGGGATAGGAAGTGTGTTGGGGTGGTAGGGAAGCACCAAATGAATGCAGTTGTTACGGCGGGAGTTCTTGATAGAGTTGATGGTCCGACGGTTTTTTTTGGCTCGGGCAAGGGCCCTGTCAATAACACTGCTGGGGTATCCTCTGTTGATGAAAAAGGAGTATATTTTGAGGGCTTAGTTCTGGAAGTCGATGTCGTCGCTGCATAATTGTCGTAGCCGAAGGAACTGTGAAAAAGGGAGAGAGATTTTAGTGTGTTTGGGGTGAAATGAGCTATACAGGAGATAGCTGTGTGAATCCGTGGGTTTGTAATAAACCGAAGTTAAGTCGGGGGTAGTTGATGGAGAAATTGATGTCTAGAAATGGAAGAGTAGTGGGAGATATGTTAACTGTATATTTGAGGGACGGGTGGAAGTTGGTGAAATGATGCAGAAAGCACTCAAGCTGGTCGTTGGAGTACGTGGCTGCACTGGCGCAGTCATTAATGTATCGCTTGTAGAGGTCAGGGACATAGCCAGTGTAGGAAGAGAATAAGCATTCTTCTACCCAGCCAACAAAAATATTGGCATAGCTGGGTACCATTCTGGTGCCCATGGAAACTCTACTCACCTGTTGGTAAAAAAGGTTATTGAATGAAAAGGCATTTAGTGTAAGGAACAATTCTGCAAGGCGTACCAGGGTGTGGGTGGGTGGATACATTTTAAATGTATATTTTAAGAGTTGTGGAGATCTGTAACAAACTATTCGACAATGTTGTTAAAGCTGATATGCTGACTTCTTTCAAGATATGGCTGGATAACATCGTCAGTTCAATAAGCTGCTGGCAATCAAAAGGGCTAGATAGGTTGAATTGCCTCTTTTCAGTTATTTATTATATAATATTATATTATTATATTTGGTGCTTAGATATAAACCTTACTTTTACTTCTGTGTTTTCTCCCTTCCTCTCCAGTTATCCTGAAAATGGGGTTGTCGAAATGTGTGCAAATGATGTGAGGCCTCGTGCTCGGACCCTGCTGAAGTGGGATCATCTACGAGTTGGCATGGTTGTCATGGTAAACTACAACATTGAGATTCCAGAGGAAAGGGGCTTCTGGTTTGATGCGGAAATCACCTCTTTGAAAGAGATCTCAAGATCAAACAAGGAAGTCAAAGTGAAAATCCTATTAGGGTAAGAATTTATACAAGACACTTGTTCTGATCTGGTATTTTGGGAGGGGTTCGACTACTTCAGCTGTTCTGATTTTCTTCACATCTGTAAAAAACAGAAGGAGCCAGTACTGTTAGGAGTTAAATCACAAATGTAAGTACATAAAGTAGTATGTATTTTTAGATTATTAGATTATATCAAATTTAATTTTCACAACCACTTTTGTAACAATTTGTAAGTTACTGTTTGCACGCATACAGTTTACTGTACTTAGCTTAGTACTCTCTTCCAACATGCCAAGTGAAATCACATTAGAAGGAGTCCCTTCAACAATCTGTTTAAATGCAAGTTTTCACATTTTTAGTAGTCAGCTTATGACATGGTTTAAATGAGTCCGATATACTGCCCAATACTTATACCTCATGCCACCCATTTGTGTTTAATTCAACATACTGTTCTGTATGATAGTACCCTTTATTTGGCAGTGTTTATATCATTTGTTACAAAGATGAATCATAGAATGATACTCTCCAAAATGGCCCTGCAGGGTTCAGAGAATAGCCTTCTTTTCACAGTAATTGTAAATACAATTGAAAAATGATTAGGTTTACTGATGCACATTTCATGAGTTTCACAGAACAAAACATATTGTAGCAATTTTGGGTTCACATGGGTATGCACCCTCGCCGCTGCCGCCTCAGGTCAGCCCCCCACCGCTGGGGACACAAACCCAGGCCTCCAGCGTCACTCAACAGGGGACCAGCCAGCTGAGCTAAAGGGAAATCTCCTGTCAGCCTGACGGCTGAGGTCCCTGCTATTCACAGGGAAGGGCTGTGATGTCACCGCGCTGGCAAGCCGATTCGCACAACCTGTAATGTCGGCTGTATGCTTATACTCTCCTCCCCTTAATTCGCCTTCCTCTGCGAAGGGCTATCACATCCTACTTTCACACCAATGTAGTATTTTCGGGTTCGGTGAGGATGGACACGGTGACTCAGACATTCGTCGAGTGAAAAATGGCCCTTTATTTTTCAGTACAGCCAGCACAGCACCCCCGCGCCCGCGTGCCAGCAGAGAGAGGGAGAGAGACAGAGTGAGAGTGAGAGAGAGAACAAGCGAGTGCCAGGGAGAGCAACACACTCGGGCCTATTCAGGTTGTTACACAGGGATAGGGTGGCAATTGGGTACAAGTATAACAGGGGTGCGAAACCAGGGAACTATTTACAAGAATCTGGGCGATTTTACCAAACTGTATGCCTGTTTTGCAGTGGGTCAGCTGCACTGGTCAGCGGCTTTCCTAGTCCCCGCCCTGACCACTACTACTCCCATCCTGCCCCTCGCCACGTACCCCAGACGGGCACTCTTCAGCCACAGTGCCAGGCGAATGCACCACAATATTCATACTAACCTTTTTCTGTTATCTCTGTGTTACTGCAAAACCAATAGTAATACCCATAATATAACAAATCATCATTCCAAAGAAATGTGCAACCACCTGGGTTACTGAACAACACTATTCTTGAATTAAGATTCTCCTTGGTAACAGGTAATGTGACAAGAGAACCACCACTCCTGGGGGATTAAAAAATCCAATTTTTGATGTATTCTTCCTGATGCATAGTCTGTTTTAGTCATATGTTTTAAAGATTCTTAATCTGTTTTTGTCCTGTTACTAAACAAAACAAGAAATGGGAGTGGGAGGCTACCAACAGCGAAAGACTATTCCAGACAATTTCAACAGATTCAGCATGTTGTGTGTGTAGTGTGTAATATGCTTGATATGACATCTGCAAGAAGGTTATGCCACTATCCAAATAGAATGTATTATAATGCTTTCACAGATTGTAGCTGGCTACTCACATTTCTTTTACCAGTATTGCAGTGCCGTCTTCAGTTCTGTTATACTAAAGCATCTCCACCCCACAAGGTATATATCATAAGTCCGCAGTCACATTCTGCATTTAGTGCTTTATTTCAGTTCAAAACAATTTGGTTCCAAAAAAAAAGTAAAACATTTATAAAAGAGCATGTTCTGTTGTGATCAGTTCTGGAACGTAGTGCCCACCAAGTGAAAATTGCAATAAAAAAGATTCAACTTAGATCTTCTGGTGACTAGTACCTTTTAAAGCAAAACCCAGTGGATCAGTTTGTCACAGCAGTATTTTTAACAAGACAGTTTACATTCTGCTGTTAATCATTAGATGTTAATTGGTGGGTTGTTTGAACTTATTCATACCAATAAATACCACTAATAAAAATGTGCTTTTAGTACTTGACTGGATCTGAATTTAAGTAAATACGATGCTTATTTTTCCTGATTCATTTCTTAAGTTGTCTCATCTGTTCTGTTTGATTGAATGATTTAACAGAATTGAGGAATGAGAGTATTTAAATTATATTATTTAAGATCACCTTAAACTCTGTTCAGGCCAATACAGTAATATCTCTTACTTGTATTATACTGTATGTACTGTTATGGGAATGATCAAAACTAAATTATAGGATCTTATACATGTGAATAGTTTCCTAGGGGCTAATTAGTGGATATTTAGAAAAGGAAGGCAATGTGTAACAAACGAGTTACAGCGGTCATGGTCATGCACGAGCATATGTTCATGTATATTTAGATTTCAGAAAGCTTTTGAAAAAGTTTCTCATAAAAGATATTCTCAGGTGGGAGGCAGTAGGCATTCAGGGTAATGCATTTATTTTGATTGTGAACAGGTAATTATATACAGAATACATATACTGTAAGGGATTAATGCCCAGATTGGGATGATATAATTAATGAAATATTACTTGGTTTTGTATTCAGTTCATGACACTTCCTAATATATTTCAATAATCCATATTCTGCTAAAATATGATAGTGGAGTTTGCAGATTATTTCAAATTGTGGTGATTAGTAAACTTTATAGAAGCTGCAAATGAAGTCTGAAAACATTTAGACAAAATTCATCACTGGGAAACCACCCGCAGATGGTGTTCATTAGAATGTAAGTGTGTGCAGTGTTTCCCAAACTGTAGTATGTGCTCAGTGTCTTCATGGGGTATTTTGAGAGATATTTTGTAATGGGAGATTGAATATTTATTTTGTACATTATTTTCATTTTTAGTCAGTTGCTTTTTTACTTTAAACTGATAAGAAATTTCCAACTCACTATACTTAATTTTTTAAAAACATTTCTGCACATGTGGTGACCTTGGTTTTTCTCCTTGTACAGTATATAAAAAAAAATTATGAAGGTTATGTACAAGAAAACATTATCTTTCCTGGACAACAGCTGAAGAGGCTTTTTGTCTGTTTGATAACATTATCAATGGTCTTGGAAATATTGGGTCAAAATATTTTGGAATTTTACCACAATCACAAGAGTTGCAAGTTTAGCCTTTAAAAGCAAAATTAACAATTGCATGTTCTTAAAAAATGCCTTAACAAGCAAATCTTAATAATTTGTAGCTGTGTAATTGTTTTAAAAAACTGAAGAAGTGGTCAGTTTTTCATTGTGTTGTTTTTAAATAAATATACAAATAAAGGGACCTTGAAACATCGGACCCATCTTTGAAGCCACATATTTAAAAAAGGTAGAATTAGAAACTTCCTGTATTACCAGACCATTGTTGTACTATCTATTTTATGAAAAGCAAATGTGCAAACGTCACAAAGAACCAGGAAATTGTTTTCTAAAGGGGTACTATGTACCGAGTTGACATAGGTAGTTCATAACACTTTTGCAAAACAATATTGGAACCTCTACAGTCTCACACATCACACATGCACAGCTCTGAATTATTTGAAAATATTTTTATTTTCACATTAATTATTGAATATACAGTATATCTTAGGAAATCTGTCTTTTCTACCATGGTAGAATTCTGGAAGTGGGTGCTGTTGGTGGTGGCTGTGTAGTAGGTCATCACACAGCACTTAAATTACTGTAACTAAGTTTCTAAGGTGTTTCCTCAATGTTCAGCATGAATGAGCATGAAAATGCCACATGCCTTTTCCCATCATTTCAAAATCATCAATAATGTGCATGTTGAACTGTTATCTAATCATCTATGACAGGCATATATTTGTGCATAGCAGTGTTTTCAATGGGGAAACTATTGATTACTTTATTTCAGGGAAGATAATTGTACAGCATTGTGGTCTCTGATTTGTTTCTCAAAGAGACAATGTTTCACAATAAAAGCTGTTATCATTGAGAGCATTCGTAATATAAATTGTAGCAGCTGTCTGGTGATGTCAACTAGAAAATCTAGAGCAGCCAGCCAAACAGAATCACTAAGCTTATTGACTTGTTTTTTTTCTATGCAGGAATTGGTTTAACTCAAGTTAATATGAGTGCAAAAAATGTTTTAAAACTGAAGTGCCAAACACTGTCACTCATCTCAGTGGTAAATCGTGTCCACATAAAGTAAAGAAGTATTGAAATTATCCGTGATTGAGTGCTCAAGACACGTGTACTTGTGTACTCATCACATTATCCATTTTATGGCCACCAGAATGTTTTACAAATTAAAGCTTAGAAGGTCCGTCATTTATTACACCACACAATGTATTCCAAGGCAGTCAGTTTGAAGTTTTGAATCACAGTTAACATGGTTTAAAAAAATTCCACAGGGTTTTGTTGTTCTACTGTAGAAATGCTCTTGAGATCCAGGAGCTGAGTCAGGTGAGTATCTCGTGTGTAGACTCGACAATGCAGCCCTCTGATTCCTTTCTGAGCACTCAGATGTCTGAGTAAACTGGAGGTAATTACTACAGATGGGGTCTGCCTTCTGCCACAAGGCTGAAGCCCAGACTACCGCCTTACAGGACAGCAGCAATATTATATAGACCACCTTGGACAGATCAGACCAGGAAATGGAGCCGGTACAGGAGCAGGGAACTGTGCTGGTACACCAGCAGGGGCAGGGAACTGTGCAGATTCACAGTTGGGAAGTTGAAACATGTCCTGGAACAATATAGGTGCTGCACAGGACTCCACAATTCAGCTGCAGTGGTTCCAGATGTT